ATTCACACACACAGACTGTTAACAATTTTAGTCACCCTCCTGTTTCCTACCTTTCGGTGCAGGAGGGTGACCTTCCCTGGGGTCCAGTGGCTGCCTTCGGCTGATGGGAGTTAGAGCTCCCACTCTGACTCTATCCTCCCCTCCTCGGTGCTCTCTCTTCCCGTGCGGCTTCCATCCAGTGCCAGCGGGTGTTCTGACGTCATCACTGGGGCCCGGTCGTGCTCTTTAAGCGCCTCAGCACTGACCTAGCCCCAGATAAATCATTGCCATGGGTGGCCCCAAGAGCAATGCTGTTGAGATGGCGCTGATCATGTATTCCTATTTTTGAAATATATTTTCAAATAAAGACTTTACATTTTTTTTTTGGCACATCCTGCTTGTGTATATATATATATATATATATATACACACACACACACACACAGATTAAGAATGGTTTGACAATTTAACTGGGGAAACCCCACACATTAGTCACATTAAGTGAAAATATACTTTATGTAACTGTGACTATATTAATTAAAAATTGTGACTATATCCATAGATAATTGTGTCTTCATCCATCAAGTTTAAAATTTGTTACTGGAACTGAGATAACAAAATCATAGTAATCCCAATGGAGTAAATTAATATAACCTCATAGGATTTTTTAAAATAAATATTTCCCTCAGAGCAATATAATATAAACTGCGACACTTCAGACCATACCTTATTCAACAAGATCTTTTCTGAGCCAAAACAACATTGAAACACAAGAAAATCATTTTATTGGTGTTTGCTTTATTCCAGGTACATTTCACGGCTGCTAGTGTGGTACAACACGGTACAACACGCAGAAACTATGTAAACATATACATAAAAAAGGAAAGGAAAACTGGAGGCTGGAAACTCATGTGCTGTTTACTGGGTCATGTGCTGTTTGCTGTTTTACACATGTGCTGTTTGCTGGGTCTTCAGGGATAAAGGCTTAGACTCGGCTGGGCCTTATGTATGCAGTGGACTGCTGTCATCACTTCCTAGAGAGATAGGTCAGACCCCTGTTTGCTGAAGTAGGTACCCAGGCTGGCAACTCTTACCGATATGCTGTTTGCTGGGTCTTCAGGGGTAAGAGGCTGAACCCTGACCTGGCTTCATGTAGGCAGTATATCGCATACATCCCCTAAGGGGGTACCCAAGCTGGCCTGTTGCTGGGTCTTCAGGGATAAGAGGCTGAACCCTGGCATGCAGTGGACCATTTTCATCCCTTTCAGGGAGAGGTTGGGTCCGACCCCCGGTCACAAAGGGGGTACCCAGGCTAGCCACTTCATCTTAGTGCGTTTTACTGGGTCTTCAGGACTTAAAGGTAGGCAGACAATGTAATAGAGCAACAGGAAATGCTAGCAGAATGCTTGGTTGTATAGGGAGAGGTATTAGCAGTAGAAAGAGGGAAGTGCTCATGCCATTGTACAGAACACTGGTGAGACCTCACTTGGAGTATTGTACACAGTACTGGAAACCATATCTCCAGAATGACATTGATACCTTAGAGAGGGTTCAGAGAAGGGCTACTAAACTGGTTCATGGATTGCGGGATAAAACTTACCAGGAAAGGTTAAAGGATCTTAACATGTATAGCTTGGAGGAAAGACGAGACAGGGGGGATATGATAGAAACATTTAAATATATAAAGGGAATCAACACAGTAAAGGAGGAGACTATATTTAAAAGAAGAAAAACTACCACAACAAGAGGACATAGTCTTAAATTAGAGGGACAAAGGTTTAAAAATAATATCAGGAAGTATTACTTTACTGAGAGGGTAGTGGATGCATGGAATAGCCTTCCAGCTGAAGTGGTAGAGGTTAACACAGTAAAGGAGTTTAAGCATGCGTGGGATAGGCATAAGGCTATCCTAACTATAAGATAAGGCTAGGGACTAATGAAAGTATTTAGAAAATTGGGCAGACTAGATGGGCCAAATGGTTCTTATCTGCCGTCACATTCTATGTTTCTATGTTTCTATGTTTCTATGTTTCTAGAGGCTGAACCCCGGCAAGGCTACAAAAAATATTGCCTGGTGAGCATAAACGAAAAAAATCTAGGCCTGCATAAGCAGACTCCTTCCAAACTGCTGTGAAGGACAGGAAAAAAAGAATGCCTGATGGGAAGGGGGGAGGGGCGAGGGGTCTATTTATACCAGTTTCAGAGTTCTATTTCCTGTCCTTTCTGCTGTGAGGGGAGGAGCTAACCCTATGAGTAAATGCTGCCATGAATAATGGTCAGGAAAAATGTATTTAGTGTATTAAGTGCAACAGCACAAACGGCTGAGCACAAGACTGTTGCAACTCTTCTCCGGTATGTCCGCATGAATACACACAACTGATCCAGAAAGATGAATTATATATTAATTTTTGGGGAGGTATGTGCACAGATTTCATTATTTCCACACTATCAGATTAGCTCTGTTTAGGAGAACAGTGCAGATGACATAGGAAAGTTAAAATAATTTGGCAACTGCAAAAGAGAGGAGCTAAGCTATGAAGTTATCAACATATCATTATCAATTTTTCTTCAAGGTCTGTTGGATTGGAAAATGTTATAGAAGGAGAACAGTTAATTCCACAACAGTATAACTCTGTACATATACTGTATATCTGAGTTAAATGTATCGATGAGTTAAATTAAGTGGTACATGAATTGGGCAGTGGATTGTGGTATCTACTTAAAATTGTAAAAATATTGAGGGTTTTTTTTCCAACCGCAAGCTGTTACTATAGCCTGTAGTTAGTATTATTTACCAACTGGTTTCCAACTTACGCTATTTTTTACTGGCCGGCCATAAATAATGTCAAAATTGTTCCACTCCCTACTGATCAGTCGCAGATTACCACACTTGTTGGTTATTCACAGAAACACACGGTGCAGTCTGTGACCAGAGCAACCAAAATTTGCCGTTTAAAAAGGCTCACCCCGAGCATGCATACTTCACCCTGTGATTAGTCTTAACAGGAGATAGTGGCAATGATACAATGCATTACACAGAGATTTTGTGTCAGATACATAGATACATCGTATTTGAATTTCTGCTATGTGAACTATGCATTCAAATTTGTTTTAAGGAATCCATAAAGTTAGATTCGGGGGTTGTACATGGATAAACATGAATCGAGTAATGGTTAAGGGACACATAGATTTAGGGATGATATATTGACAAAGCCCATGTGTTTAAAACATCCACCCATCCCTAATACCCAAATTGTTAGATGGGGAACTATGTATTTTAGCTAGGGTTATATCTACTATTTGGGATAGGTTCTTGGCTACATTGATAATGCTGAATTAACATTTATGCATTATCAATGTTAATTTCATCCAATCTGGATAGCATTTATTGTCAAAGAGTGCTGGATTAACTCCCTTTTTAGAACATTTTGATACCTGTTAAAAGAATCAGATGAATGGTATGGAAAAAGTTAAACTGTTCATCTGATTTTTCCCAATTTGGCTATGGTGTCCTTAAATCTGAAATTGATTTTGAATTCACTCTACATTTTTTAACTTGAGTGAATAACGCTGTATATGCACAGTAGACTTTAGATTGCTTAAAGAAACTCAAATTTATTCTGAAAAGAGAGAAAAACTTCTATTCCACAGAATAGAATTTTGTGATTGTTAAAATGTCCAAGAATGGGCATCATCAATTTTAATAAATACCAACAGTTATATAATCATTCTGTATATATAGGTTTTGAAATGAAAGCAGCCTCTAAAACACGACACTTGTGATTAAAACATGGGGTTAGCTATATAAATGTTGATATCACTTAGGTATAATTGATTAAGCATGATTAAAGGACCAAGGGTATGGGTGCAGTGGTCCTTTTGTTTTTACCCTGCAGTGTAAAACATTGCAGTTTTTAGGAACTCAAACTGACAGCCACTAGAGACACTTCGGTGCCATTGACCAAGTTAGCTTGGTCATGTTATGTGGAAGCCCCATAGGAAAGCACTGATTGCTTCTGTTCCTGTGCATCAGATCCACAATTCTCCTCTACAAGGAGCATTGGATTAGACCATCATGGAGGAGTTATGGCATCAAGGGAGGTTGAAAGATAGGGTAAGTAAAATCTTTATTTTATTACTTTGTTTGCTCACAAGGAGGGTGATGGGGAGGGAGACCTATATCACTAGCGATAGGGTCACTAAAGCGATAGGAATACAGGTTTCTATTTCTAATGCTTTAGTGTTCCTTTAAAACTAAATTTGCTAAATATCTAATATAATTCTAAAACATTTTAAATGCAACTATTTTACTAACTTGAATATGTTATATTTACCAAATCTAGCACATTGAATCAACCTCTTAATTTTTTTTGTTCCCAACAAAGCACAAGCAAAGTCCCTATGTAATAATGGTTTTGTTTTTTCTAATTGTTTTTTGAACTAGCACTTATTCTGAAAAATATTGTGACAGAAAAGAACGACACTCTCAATTACATTTATCAAGATTTCTTCCATTAGGAATTGGATTGGATTCCATGAAGGTAAACAATACCACATCTTTTTACACTTTTAGTATTTTATGGTGGAGCTATACCTTTATAATGTGTATTATCTTTTAATTTTTTTCTTATTTCTGTTTTATAAAGGAAGTAATTCAACAACTGGAGCAGAGTAATAAAAGTTACGTGACTAGGTTCATACTTTCTGGAATCACTTCAAACCCAAACCTTCAGTTACCTCTATTTCTGTTATGTTTGTTAGTGTATACTATAACATTGATGGGTAATATCACTATTATTGCATTAATTAGAATTACACCTCATCTGCACACACCAATGTATTTTTTTCTCATTAATTTATCCCTTGTAGATATATTCTATTCAACAACAGTTACACCCAACAGTTTGGCTAATATCATTTCTGCCGATAAAACAATATCCATCGTTTGTTGCGCAGTACAGATGTTTTTCTTCATTGGCCTGGCTACGTCTGAAGCAATGCTACTCGCGGTCATGGCTTATGACAGATATGTCGCAATATGCCATCCATTGAATTATCCAATACTTATTAACAATAAAAGATGTCTTCAGTTTGTTTGCACAGTATACAGTGCAGGATTTATAAATTCACTGATGCATACTTACTGCACATTTAGGATACCGTTGTTTTGTTCAAGTAGTGTCAATCACTTTTATTGCGATATTGTACCCATCTTAAAATTATCTTGTCGGGACACATTTTTTAATGACATTTTTTTGTTTACTTCAGCTGGTTCCATTGAAGTTGGATCTCTGTTATGTATTCTGATATCATACACTTGTATTCTATTGGCCTTGTTTAAGATCCACTCTACTACTGGTAGACATAAGACGTTTTCCACATGTGCCTCTCATCTCACTTGTGTTGCTTTATTCTACTGTCCTGCTCTTTTTGCATATTTGCGATCACCAACTTCTTTTTCTGTGAATGGGGATTGGGTAGTGTCTGTGTTCTATGCAGTGGTAGTTCCAATGCTAAACCCTATCATTTATAGTTTGAGGAATAAAGATGTAAAGGGGGCACTGAAGAAAGCCATGGTGCTCGTGACACTTTAATAAAGTATTATGCAGATGGTGTGATACTTTATTAAATAAGTAAACCATCTGCCCTGTGTTATTTAAAAAGTATCACAATTTACCTACTACGGCAAAATTGCAGTGCCATGGATTATTATTTCCCCACGTTGTACATTTACTTATTTTACTCCCCTCTGATGAACCTCACTGGCGAAACGTGTGCGTCAGGGGTTCTGGACACATACTGACACATTATTGGTGTCGGCATCTAACTCTCCGCTTACCAATTGCGATATTACCGACGTTAAGTGCATTTATGTCCAGCATCTCAGGAGTGTAGACTGGAGACTCTTAACACTAATTTAGTGCACTTTGTGTATATACTTTATTTCTCTTTCTTTTTTCTTTATTATATTTTATGGGGGGAGATTGATTAGACCAGGTATTTGATTAAGGGGTGCCCTTGAAGGCACAAGACTCAGGAATCCTATTTTATACGCCTTTCTCTATCACTGACTATATTATCTTTTCTATCACTCAGGCAGCCTGTTTGAAAACTGTCTGTTAATCTCTTGTTTTTTATATACTCGGACTTATCATTTAAATGCAGTTATCACTTAGGCAACGTTTGTGACTAACAACGGGTTAACTGCTGCCTGTCAGCAGTCCTTCATAGCTGAGCTACTAATTCTTGTTCCGCTGTGGTTAAGCATAATATAATATCACCTAGTACAGGCAGCCATTGTTATACTATAATATACTGCATTAGACATTTTTCAGCTAAAACGGAGTCAGCTCGGCAACCCCTTATCTCATACTTTACTGCCTGACAGTAACCTCTAATTTATCACCCATACGCTGCTACTTTCGAGGCAGCTTTCGTGATATTTAATTGGCTAATCGCCGTCTGTCAGCAGCGTATCTCAGCTGAACTACTTTATTATTTTTGTATGGAATGTTGACCCATGTCGTTAGTATGCACTACCATGAAGGTTTTTTTTAATTTATTTATTTATAAGTCTTCTCACTACTGACAGCACTGGTTTAGCAGTCTTTGAATCTCCCCCCTTTGTTACAGTTATTAGTGATATATAACACAGTATCACTTTTATAACTTGTATTGTTTTTGCATTAGATACACCTTTACAGCCTATATCAGTAGTCACTGAGCTTTATTCGCTGTACAGTCTCCACTTACTCTTGTTCTTACAATTTTTTCTTTTCTACATTTATTTTAGATTTATTTATTTAAAGTTACTTTTTAAGCTTACAATTTTTTCAGCTAACTATACACAGGTAGAATGCCATTATTTTCTTCTTTTTTGTTTATTCCCTATGATATTCACCATTTAGGGGTTACCCCCCTTTTTTTGTGCATTCTACCTCGTGTTATCTAAAATCAGGCTCTAGGTTGATTTTTGTTTTTTTGTTTTTTTACATAACTCATTTAACACTTTAAAACACAAAATATTGTTTATTGTGACAAAAACAATTTTAAAAAGCAAACACTCATTGCTTGAGTAAGAGAGCACCCTCCTCTGTCGATACTTGTTTAAACCACTGTTGTTTAGAGTGTTTACTGAACTGTAATTTGGAGGAAATCTGGCCAATCAGGCTTTCATTCATGACTCGGAGTCCCATTCCTGGCACACAAAAAAAAAATGTGCGATGACATGGAGAAGAGGCTGCATAATATAGTATCTAAGCCAGTGGGTCGAACAGTTATCTAGGGTTTTTAACTCTCTTATCACTTTACTTCCAGGGGTCCTGACCAGAGCGGGACCTATAGGTCACCCTTGTGGTGTCAAATTATTTAGTGTTGTGCTACATTGTCGGGGAGAAGTGGGCAAGAGCATACGGCCCAGAGTCGAACATGCTGTCTTATTTTCATAGGCTTTTGTAACTAGAAGTGTATGAATCGTGTCCTGGCAGCCCCCATTTCAACGAACTATGTGTGTTTTCCGACCATGCGGTGGTCAAACAATAGGAACACCGTGGGTGTCGGGAAATATCGTCCTCCCCTTTGTCCACGGATTTGCAGGAGACCTACCCTTTGGGTCTTCAGCAATCTTCATTATAAAAAAGGGTTTAGGCCACCTCGAAAAATCTTTCGGACATATTGGGGAGCCGTTTCAGGGCTTTTCCAAGTGCCTTCCAGTGTCATTCGGATACCGGTGCTTGGTCTTAGGGGTCTTGTAGCCCATAAGTTAATTGGCAGGTAGGACACCATGGCCCACCATCTCTGGAAGACCCTGACCCAGCCTCTTGGGGATTGCTGTTTCTACTGAGGCTGCAACAGCGGCATTTAACATAGACTGAAAGTCTTGAGTGTGAGGCTGGGCAAGTTGCTAGTGATGTGTGTCAGTTGAATCTTTCGGTCTGAGGAATATATAGTAGGTTCAGGTACAGGTGTAAATATGTGTGGACACACAGCGCACCTCCACGTACAACTGGGGGTCAGCCAGGGTATCAGGCATTCAGAGCCTACTGTTAGTGAGGCATTAATGCCAGACAGCCAGAAGAGGGGGTCACTCTCTATGCGACCAGGAATAATGGTCGAGTCCAAATGGGTGGTAGCCCCTGTGATATAGGGAGACATGAGGAGTCTCAATACTGTGTTAAGGGTTCACCCTAGTTATGTCCCACTAAGGTGGGGTCAGTACCAATGAGGGGATCACCCTCAATAGTATGTTTTGAATAGATGGGTCCCATAGTTGCATCACAGAGGTGATGTAGTATGGCACTGTTCTGGAATGCAGTCCATATATGGCACCAAGAAGGGGGGTCACCCCTATTACAGTGTCTCCATGGTTTAAAATTCTTGGGGGGTCACCCCAGGTTAAATGAGGGTCACCCCTAGAAACTGCTCGCCATTACTTGGCATGTATATATAAATATGCTTGGGGTTCACCCTTGCGATGGGGGGGGGAGTCATCCCAATAATAATAATGCACATAGTAATCCTTTGGGGAATGCACATATGTGAGTGCGTGGTCACCCCAGTAGTAAGGGGTGTCACCCCAATAATAAAGTGCATAGAAATCCATTGGTGAATGCACATCTGTTAGTTGGTGGGTCACCTCAGTAGAAAGGGGGTCACCCTAATAATCAAGTGCATAGAAATCAATTGGTTAATGCACATCTGTGAGTGGGGGGTCATCCCAGTAGTAACCAGGTCACGCAATAAAAAAGTGCCTAGTAATCTGTTGATGAATTCAAATCTGTGAGTACGGTTCACCCCAGTAGTAAGGGGGGACACCCCTTCATTGATAAGTCTCAGGATGCGGGAGGCGGCCTGGGGAGTCACCCCAGTGTGCACTGTTTGAAGTGGAATAGTGAGAGACTTTATATATGTGGGGGGGTTCCACCCCTTGTAAATACTGCTATAGTGTAGGGAAAGCATCCTTGGTTGATTAAACATATATACATATGTGATTATACATATCTACATAATATACATATCATGCATACTATGTGATTATATATCTTCTATATATTATACATATTATGTGATCATACATGTACCACATAATCTACATACTATACACACACCATGTGAGTAAACATATACTACACATTATACACACTATGTGATTATGTATATTCCACATACTGTACATATATACACACTATATGATAGTACATATACTACATACTAAACATGTATCAGAGTCCACTATAAACATATATTACAACTTCTAACAGGCATTGATTAAAAAAAACAAAACCTGCAGGAATTGTTTCAGGAACAGTGTAGACCAGCCCAGATCATGGAATCATGATCTGGGTAAATTAAGATGGCCGATGTGAATCTCGCGGTCTCGCAAGATTCAAGATGGCTGCCATTCGCTTGCAATTTTGACAGCGCGGCCCACTGGAGATCATAATGGTGTACCTCATGCTCCCCTCAGCCAGCAGTACCCCACAGGCTTGCCCCAGAACCGCTCGAAAGAGCAGAAAAACCTCACTAAAAAGCGGTGCGCAAGTGAATGGGAGTGAGTGAAAGCCCAGCAGGGCTAAGGCTCTGGCCCTAAGTAAGGTAGAGAAGTCTTTGGGTTGCAGAAAAAATGGAAAAACAAGCATTACATAGGTTTAGGAATAAAGGGGTAAGACATGAGAGGGAACAGGAGGGCAAACAGGCATAAATAGTAATTCTATAAAGTAAATCCAAGTACAATACAACAAATGAAATAAAATATGTTCAGAACAAAATACTCTGACTTGTGCCTGGCTGGAGCAGCAAAGAAAGAGGAAGATCTATCCCTGTAGGGGCTTTATATGAAATGTGTTACTTGTTTCTGATTGGTTGAACTTTTTTGATTGACTTGTGCTGCTGGAGGCATAAGTAAAGAAAGTTATGCAAAATATGAAGCCTCCTGTTATGATGTAAAATTCAGCGTCACCTTGGCAACATTCCTGTCTCTATTCTGCCCTCTTCATGATGCCCACCAACTTTCCCATTACTCACAGACATATCAGTGTGCAGCCTGCATAGCGGCCACCATCTTGTTGAGACAGCACAAATGCCATAGACCTCACACCAGAAGCAAGGATTATGGAGGCAAGGCAGAAGCTACCATGGCGATAGTGGTATAAACTAACAACAGATAATGAAGACAGGCTCCACCAGGGAACCTGTACCAAAGAAATGACCACTAATCAATATCACCTATA